AAACTGGCCACTCCCTGCTGGCATCGAGCTAGCAGACCCAGCGTTTGATAATCCGGATGTCGTCGATGTGATTATCGGCGCTGAAATATTCTACGACATTCTTATGAAGGGACGTGTGAAGATAGGAAGTGACTTCCCGACACTGGCTGAAACTGTGTTCGGGTGGGTCGTCAGCGGTTCTGCGGAGACCAAGCAATCGGCTGTCCAAAGACGAGTCTGTCAGCTAGCAACCACGTATGAAGATGTCAACCGTACTCTTTCCAGATTCTGGGAACTGGAGGCAGGGTATCACACCAGCAAGATGACCGCAGCAGAGCGTGCTGTAGAACAACATTTCGATGAATCGCACAGCCGAAACAATGAGGGGCGGTACGTTGTTAGATTGCCATTCAATAATCTCAAGGGTCAACTGGGCGACTCTTATGAGAATGCGAAGCACCGACTTGGAAGGCTGATGGTCAGTCTTACCAAAAACCCATCCAAGCGAGAAGCCTACACGCAATTCATGACAGAATATGCGACTCTGGGCCATATGCAAGAGGTAAGCCACAACCCGGAGGAAGGCTACTTCTTACCGCACCACGCAATTTACAAGGCCACCAGCTCGACTACAAAAGTTCGAGTGGTTTTTGATGCCTCGGCGGCGTCAACGACAGGCATATCTCTCAACGACACTCAGCTGGTAGGACCAACAGTGTAAAGCGACTTGGTCACTATCATGCTACGTTTCTGTACGCATCAGGTAGTGCTAACAGCGGATGTACCTAAGATGTACCGGCAGGTACTAGTACACCCGGACGATCGAAAGTATCAGAGAATTGTGTGGTTCAACGACGCGAACGAAATGGCTACCTTTGAATTAACAACGGTCACATACGGCTGTTCGAGTGCCCCTTATCTTGTCACAAGGGCGATGACACAGCTAGCTATGGACGAAGCAGAAAACTTTTCAATAGCAGCTGGCGTTGTCAAGGAGGATAGCTACATAGATGATTTTCTCACTGGAGGCAAAACAGCTGCAGCCGTCGTGGAAATCTACAAACAGTTAAAGGCCCTGCTGAGCCGAGGTGGCTTCGGTGTGCATAAATTTTGCTTCAATAGCGCTGAAGTTCTTCAGTCCATCCCAGTCGAGTTGCAGGAAAAGCAGGTAGACTTCGGACTTTGGGGCTAATATGGAATCCTAATTACGACTACTTCGTTTTCAACGTATCACACCTGGAGCTGAATGGAGGCAGAATCACGAAAAAGATGGTTCTATCGGAAATTAGCAAGCTTTTCGACCCACTGGGTTTTCTAGGACCGGTGGTGACCACCGCAAAACTGATAATGCAAGAGCTATGGCGTTTGAAGCTGGGTTGGGACGATGAGTTGCCCGACGAGCAGATGCAGATGTGGTTAATGTTCCGTAAACAACTGGTTGCAGTACGGAATATCAAGAAGAAGAGATGCGTCATTCCAGGCGATGCTACGAAGATCGAGCTACTTGGTTACTGCGATGCATCCAAACGGGCATATGGTGCTGTCCTGTACGCTCGGAGCGAGCTCAGCGATGGTACAATAAACATTCAACTAGTGTGCAGTAAATCCCGAGTAGCCCCACTGAAGCCGACGACCATACCTAGGCTTGAACTGTGCGGTGCACTAGTACTGGCACAACTGGTTCAGAAGGCGATTAAATCTTTGAAGGTGAAGTTCGACAGCGTCAAGTTGTACTCCGACTCGATGATTTGTTTGAGTTGGCTGAAGAAGTCCCCAGCGGTCTTGAACGAGTTCGTGTGCAACCGAGTAGCCACCATAATAGAACTAACGCAGAACTACGCATGGGGCTATGTCAAGTCCGAGAATAATCCCTCTGATGTGCTTTCGCGAGGATTATTTCCAGAGCAGCTGATCGAGGATGAACTTTGGTGGAGAGCCGCACCAGAGCAGCGACAACGTTGTGAAGCAGAAGATCAATTAGTTCCTGTGTTGGCAGATGAAGAACTTCCGGAGCTTCGGAGTACAAAAACCATTCTTGCTGTAACCGTGGAAAAATCATGCAGTAACTGGAAACGGGTTAGCAACTTCAACCGTCTGCAACGTGCTTGGGCGTATGTGTGGCGGTTTGTTGAAATAACCCACACGAAGAAGAGAAATCCTGTCAGCAATCCGTTATCAGCCAGCGAATTGTCTAGGGCGACTCAAACCATCTTCAAGGTCATTCAACAGGAGGAGTTTAAGGAGCAGCTCAAGCAGTTGCAGTCCGGGGACAAGAAGCGGAACAATCTGTCCAGCTTGGCGCCTTTCGTGGACGGCGAAGGCTTCATCAGAGTCGGTGGTCGACTAAAATATTCAAACATTCCCTACGAAGGCAAGCACCAATTACTGCTTCCAGAAAGGCATCCAGTGGTCGAGTTGCTAGTACGCCACCTACATGAGAAGAACCTGCACGTAGGACAGAACGCATTGATTTCGATAATTCGTCAGCAGTATTGGCCGATTAAAGTGAAGACAACCGTCAAACGGATTATCGGTCGATGTTTCAGGTGTTTCAAGCACAAACCACCACAGTTGAATCAGTTTATGTCACACCTGCACCAGTGTTTGCTTCGACTGGTGTAGATTTTGCTGGACCATTCATAATCAGGGAAAGTGGTAAAAAACCGAAGTTTCTGAAAGCATACGTTGCTGTATTTGTGTGTATGGCAGTGAAGGCAGTATATTTGGAGCTATGCACAGATCTGCGCTCAGAGACTTTCTTGGCAGCATTGCAAAGATTCACCAGTCGACGTGACATTCCTTCAAACATTCATTCGGACAATGCCACAACATTTATCGGGGCTTCCAATGAACTTGCTGAACTACGAGAACTATTCCAAAGTCAGTTGCACAAGGATAGGCTGACCGAGTTCTGTGCCACAAAGGGTATTACCTGGCATTTCATCCCGCCGCGAAGTCCTCACTTCGGCGGAGTTTGGGAGGCTGGAGTAAAGGCAATGAAGTACCTACTCAAACGCGTTGTGGGAGAAACGAGGTTAACATTCGAAGAAATGACGACGTTCCTGGCCGAAGCGGAAGTGATTATGAATTCTCGTCCTATGTGCCCCTTATCGGACGATCCCAACGATTTCCAGGCTTTGACCCCTTCGCATTTCCTGATTGGACGCACAGGTCAAGCAATTCCCGAACCGTCGTACGACCAATTGAAGATTGGCAGGCTGTCAAGGTGGCAACATGTGCAGTACATGAGAAAACATTTTTGGAAGCGATGGTCTGCTGACTACCTGCACACGCTGCAGACACGGCAGAAATGTAAGGGCGATGTTCTGGACATCAAAATAGGTGCTTTGGTGCTACTGCGAGAGGAGAACGTTCCACCACAGCAGTGGAAATTGGGCCGCATCACTGCTACACATCCAGGTGAGGACAGGGTGGTGAGAGTGGTCACCGTCAGGACGGCGAGTAGCGAGTTTAAACGGGCAGTGACTAAGATCTGTCTGTTTCCGGATGTTGACTCTAACGATCCAACGGGGGGTGTATGATTGCTCAGTAAGAAGAATACAGTCCACTTATTTCAGTGTGTACACATAACACATACAATGTTGTATTTGCGTTACCTGTTAAATGAAAAACCTTGTCAGTTGAATTATTAGTAAAATAAATCTTTTACCGAGCAGATGCGTTCAATTTTAGTTCTTTTCAACCATCGAGAAATCGCTAGTCCGAACCACGCCAAAAACTTTCCCCCAAACAGCAAAATAGCTCAACATTAATCAACCCATTGTAAATTCTGTCATTACATTAAATTTGAATATCTCATACGTAAGATGAACGGTGGTCTGATTATGCTAACATGAATTGTCACGAGTTTTGAACGGAAAATTGAAATACTTTAAAAATTTAAGATAAAGTATAATAGTCAAGAATGCATTACATGCATCAATTTTGCGTAGTTCTACGTCATACTGCGGTCGTTTCTAAGACACAACCCTTAATTTTTTTTCACCCTTAGATAAACGAGAAAAAAATTAAGAAAAGCTTTGTTTGATAAATAGAAGCTTTTAAAGATTTCATTCCAATACCTCGCTGTGCATAATTTTCAAATCTGCATCATTACGATGATTTTATATAGGAACGTAGACTTCAAGAGGGAAATTGAGATGTTAGTAATCGTGCTCGGCTAACATTAGGTTTGTTCCCGTATTTGCTTTTCAGTAAGATTCTGTACAGCAAAAAGCAAAAGTATGGGAAATGGCTCTAATGTTGGCCTATGGATCTAAGATTGGGCCCATCGCTAAAAATCTGCTATTTATCAATTGTATCTAGATGAACGCGGACGATACTAATGGATATTTTTGATTGCTATTGAAAATTTAGTCGATAGCTAAATTTATATATGGGCCTAAATTAGGGACACTTAGGCCGACATTACATAAATTTCCCCTAGTTTCCCGTTCTTGCTGCAGCATATTATTTTCCGTTTCCGTTTGGCACTTCTGACACCTTAATTGTTTTCTTCGGCTCATTCCAAAATGTACCAACTCTAAAATCTAATGGAGACGCACGGTTGTACACTACCTTAACAAAAAGATTAGCGGAATCCTTCCACTTCGCGTTTTCAGAGGCAGCAATCTTAACATCTACCGCTCACAACAGCATAACAGTGCCATAAGGGTTTTTGTCAGAAATTAGTTATCCATTAGAATCGTTTGTTAACTACCGGCATTTAACTCTGTGCACTAAAATTTACTTGTTTTGTTCAGGCAGTATCGTGAAAAATACCAAAATTAGGTTGTCGTAACTACTATAAGAGACTACGACCAAATAAATTTTCAACAGCGTTTTTCTCGGCTTGCTGTTTTTCCTTGCTTTTATGGGCAGTCCAGGAATCCTGCAGATCTAAACATTTAAAGTGGTGCTTGCATCTCTACAGCAAACACTCAGATGTGTGCCCTGACAAATTACACGGAAAGAGGATTCCGTCACTCGTCTGCACAACACATTTCCTTCCAAATACTCACCGTACGATCCCGGAAAGTAGTAGTACCCTCTGTTGTTGAGAATCTGCACACAGGCACTTCCGAAAGCCGCCGCCAGCATCAAACCCGTAAGCGTAATAACCACCACCAGCAGGGCATCCCGCCGTAGTTCGCGTTTGGTCCTCCCCGAACCATTCTTCCGGTTGGTCCGACAGCTGATCGAATAAACCGAAACGCCCAGCAGACCCCACGTCAGGAACGTTTCCTGCGCCGCACTCATCCAGCTCTTGGAGTTGATGAAGAAATCCGCCCAATCCGTCGCGGGAAAAACGTTCTTTATACTATCGTAGTTCACCATCGACAGGAACTTGGACGTGATGGCAATGAGGCCAACGAAGGCAAAGCTAAACAACCCAATCACGATTTTCCCGAACGACCGTATTCCTTTGCACAGGACCACAAACACAATCGTCCACAGGATGGCTAGATTGAAGGCCAGCTGGAAGCGGACGGCTCCGATTCCGTTCATGCCTCGCACTCCCGGCCCGAGCTGGTGTCGCTGAAGAACGACGCCGTTGAAGTAGTCGGCAACCGTGTCCGAGAGTCGGAACGACTGGTTCCCAGGTCCTCGGTACATTTCGAAAACCTCCTGCCATCGATATTTTTCGCTTCGGGATACGAACGAATCCCGGAAGTAGACTAGCACCCAACTGAGCGAGACGGCCGAGTAGAGCGTGATTAATCCTTGTGCCAGAATCAGCGCGATTCCGATCCCCTTGCAGATGGGACTGATACGCCACATTGTCACTGGTCCACCACGCACTCTCGATCCGAGCACCATCTGCAGCCAGAGCATCGGAATCCCGAACAGGAACGAGAATATCAAAAACTGAACGATGAAATTCGCCCCGAAGTGAATACTGAAGATGGCAAAGCGGGATATGTTGAACAGTCCCAGCGTGCAGAAGCTGCACGCCATCGCTCGGGAGACCACGTGCGGCCACTTCGGTTTCGGTCGTCCGTTTCGATCCGTTTCCGGTACGGATTCATCATCCGACGAGTCGGAATCGTCCTCTCCGTGGCTTCCCATCGCAATCGTCGTCGAGTGGAGCGATCCGTTCCGGGTGGTGGCCGCATTTGTGCTGCTGCTGCTGCCATTGGTGACCCCCGTCGTCGTCGATTCTGCACCGACGGCCAAACTGGTTACATCACGCCTCGAGTCGTCTTCGTCTGGCCTTGAACGTGACCTGCGGGGAAAGAAAAGAAGGGAAAAACAAAGCGTGATTACTTTCCTGCCGTTTTTGGGATGGATCGATTTAAAGGAGCCCTCACTCGAACAGGGAAGGGAAGTCCTTGGACGAGATCACAAACATGTTGTAGCTGAAGAGTGCCATGCTGATGACGGTGGCGTGGCACAGAAGGCCATGAGTCAAGTTCAATATCGAAACGATGAAGAAACAATGTGCACTTGGATCCGTGTGAAGGATGTGAATGAAAATTGAAAATGCTGCGCGTGGCATTCTAGTTAGGTAGGTGCCTAGTTTGTTTGTGAGGCGCAATATTGGTTTCCCATGGTTACCGACAAACAGCGTGTTGACGTCAACGGTAGTTCAAAAATGAGAAAAGTTTCGACTGGAGGAAATCAGATGCAATTGCACGACCGATGAGATCGACTCAAAATCTAGTGGGGTTTCACTCAAAATCGCATAAACGTAGGTAACTCATATGCGAACCCCACACGTATCAATATATTAACGCGAAGGGGAATTATTGACACTAATATTGAAGATGTGAATACAGAAATATCATCAATAGCGATGCATTCTGGCTATAATTGCATATCAGTCCAATATGGAGAGCCTGTCATATGACATTTTAGTTTGGTGCTGTAATTTGATAGCGTGTTTTGCAAGTATCGGAAGCAAAGGCAGTCGATTATCCAGAAAATGAGTCGACTACGGTTACTGCCTACAAGACTGCCCACGACAGTACAACATATTTAGTCCAAAAATAAGAAGCATATTCTGGAATCAATCCTCCAGTGGGTGACCTTTGGTGAAAGCAAGTGGGTGAGAATGTGAGGGGGTTCATCGAGTTTCATCCCCGGCATATAGTTGGATTCCTTTTGCATGATATTTATGAGATTGTTAACGTGCCCTTCCGTATAAGGCAACCAGCGGGCATTTCTCAAAATGATTCTATCTTCAATCGAAAACGTATCGGTCCGCAAGACCCAGTTTGACCAGCTTATAGTTTTTCATAGCATTCCCCTTCTCAATTCCTCGATGATACAATAACAGACTAGTTCAAAATTTTCTCCGAAGGCGGCCTACTTTTGATTTGCGTCCCAATGTACTGCGAACGTGCATACACTGACGTTCAATGTCTCCAGGTTTGTTTTTAATTTTCATGATCACGACATCCAACCAGTTTGCACTATAGGTAGCGTTTGACTGACCGTCGGTTGCTGTAGGTAACCCATTTCAGCCATCTTGACTGCCGTATCGACAAGACCCTCTCGACCGGCCATGGTGTGGATGAACTTGACTGAAGTCAAGCCCGAATAGAAGCTGTTCTGGATGAAATCACGAGCCACTGGGAACTGAGTTTTGCTAGATTTAAAGAGTTTCGTGGTTCAGGGAATACTTACCGATGTTTTTCGAACGATCCTCGAAACCGGTTTGTCGTTTTTAAAATTCTTGATTGAATCGTGTTTTTTACCAGTTTTATGTATGACAACAAATTCTCTCACTAGCTTAACTTTTGAGTAAACAAAGTATTAAGTCGAGTAGTCAACCTTAGTAACAATTTGCGAAACGTCAACACTCAACAGTGATGCCATTTTATATTATATTGTTTGTGTCCTACTTGTCAAAGTGAAACCTATCGTGCCGAACAGTGTGCCATGCTGTGTTTCGGCACAGTGTACAGAGTTGATTACCCCCGTGGAGTATTGACAATATTTCAACCCATGTGAGTAACCTACATTTTTGCGAATTTGAGTAAATGAATCTCAAATTTGAGTTGGTTTAATCGACCGTGTGGAAGTTGGTTGAAAACTTTTACAAACTTGAATAAAAAGAGTTTACTTTCATATCCCGTGCTTTTCTTCCGGACCGATTAAAACAAACTCATACAACTCAGTTTGGAAACAATACAATGATAAAATCTGACGTGAAATAAACATTCAAAACAATTTGAATTATAGAGGACAAAAAATAGAAACAACAACCAGCTTAGCTGACACTACGTATTATCGATCGGAGTTCTACAACGGTTGTCGGTTATAATGACCGTAGAAGTAAGTACCTTCCTATGCATCCATACACCCAACTGTGAAATGTAAGATTCTTTTACACATTTATATAACAAATATACATAATTTGCAATGATTCACCGCATGAACAGATTCTGTAATGTTTGCAAATTTTATGTTTACCAAATTTTCCAACAGAATTTGTTCCCTCGAATGCACTGCGGCTAGAAAATCATCTCGTGATGGCTCTATATGAAAATATTCATTCGGCTAAAACTGGCTTTTACGCTACAGTCCATCGTAAGATCTGTCGTTACATTTGCTGTAAGAAAACAAGAAATCCACGCTTACATTTGATGTCCATGCTATTTGGTTTGCTTGTACATAGGAATGCCTTACGTTGCTCGATGTCGTGTGGCAAAGCAAGCGTGAAATATCGTTGCGGTTTCCCAGCATTAACGTTGATTTGGTTGTCCCGGCAACGGAACAGGTACAACAAGGTCAACTTACATATAGGCTTGACTTTGGCAAACCGTGCGATTTTCTTCGAGGGGGACGACTCTATCTAAGTTGCAGGAAAGATTGTGTTTTGCGGTGGCTAGCTGCGTACACAAACATATATACAAACAAGCAAATCGTATAGAATGCAAATAAATAGCTTTTACGTACAAAATTGGAGGCCATGTACGTGCAAATTTTAATTTAATTTTAAAAGAGTTGATTTAACATCATATATGATTTAATCTGTAATACCAAATTCGCTTTGAAAAGTCTTACGATGTAATCCGATTTGATTTGTGATACAGTACGACCGAAAAATAAGTCATCGCATATAGGTCGGAAATTTGCATTCTATACGATTTAACTTAAACATAATACGATGCATGCTATTCTTATATGCGATTTTGACTTAAACCTTAAACTATAGCAATTTACGATACTGTCTGCACATTGCTATACGACTTCTGATTGTCCGGGTGTCTTTCTGGGAAAAATAAATAAAAAATGTAGTACAACCACCAACGAACCGACATGCCAGCCGTTTTTCAGCTTTGCCCGAATTATTTTAACGACACATTCAAATCAGGGCGACCACATCTGTCAAAATTGAGTATGTCCGCCATGTTTATTGCGTATGTTGGCTTGCCTTTCAAAAAAATATAACAACAACGTCAACAACCAAACCGAAACATGGGAAGAAAATGTGAGGCAAATTTTTGTTATAATAATGACGGGAAAAACATCGGAAAATCGTTTTATAGATTTCCTCAGAGCGTCGGAAGGTAGCTTTATTGTCGTCCTGAAAGTTATCATTGAAATTAACTGTTGTTTGTTAACTTTTCAGTTGTCTAAAATGGATAGAATATTGCCAATCCGAGGAGCTAGAGGGCGAGTTTTATTCTGGCGGACCACAAGCCCTTAGGAAGAAAAGAGTATGTTCGGATCATTTCACATTTGAAGCGTTGAAAGACTCAAACAGGAGTGATAAAGGGTAAATTATCAATAGATTAATTCCTTAGTGTGAAATCTTAAAAAAAGTGATTTTTCAGCCTCAAGATAGGAGCTGTTCCATCCGTTGAATTCGTGTGGGTTGAGCATGAGACTAAGCAATTAGCAACAAAATCACCTATTATAACAACTTGTGTAAACTCAATCGAGGACACGATTTGTTATGATCTATCTCGGGTAAATACAAGCGATGAAGACCTTAACAAGACAGACGATATTTTTCTCGAAGATCTGGTTTTTTTATGATGTTGAGTACCTAGATGAGGGAGAAACTATTGAGAACAATGATAACGTCTTCGACGATCAAAATAACAGCACTACTACTAAGGATGTTGAAGCACCGATGGTTACAGGTTTCAAATCACCCGAAGGAAGTGGTTGCAACACAATCCTAGACACGGGATTGATCCTTCCAATCGATCAGAGCTCAAAGAAGCTTTTGGATGCACATCATCGGATTAGTTTGAATAAACAATCGATATTACGAGGTACAGTAAATAAACTTAAAAACAGACTAAGGAACAGTGAAAGGACGAGCAGAAGAAGATTTTGGTCCAGGAAACAGGATGCTTATAAACTCAAGCATCAAAACGATCAGCTTGAGCTAATCCGAAAATTACATGCAAAAGATAAAAAACTACTTGATGATCTGGCCAAGAATCCAGTGCTATATAACAGCCTGCGAAACTCCACAGGAGTAGCAAAAGCCAGACGATATAACCAGGAAATGAAGAAGTTTTCCGTGTCACTTTACCTTTGTGGCCCACGTGTGTATCGGATGGTTCGAAGGTCAAATGTTCTGTGTTTGCCGGCGAAACGCACCATTAAACGGTGGACCAATGACGTCCGATTTGAACCAGGTTTGAACAGCGCTATCCTCAAAAGGATTAAAACATTAACTCGGAAATTCAGTGACCTAGAACGAGTAGTGGTACTGGCTATAGATGGCATGAAAATTAAATCCAATCTAACTTACTCAGCGAAAACAGATGTATTCCACGGCTTTCCGAACGACGGATCGAAAAAGGACACCGAGAAAAATAAATGTTCCATATTAGCAACGGAAGCCGTAGCAGTAATGGTGCGAGGCGTTTACAAACCTTTTAAGCAGGTATGTACCCTTTGGTTTTGCATTTCATTCATTAGCACATACATGATAAAAATTCTCAATTTTCCAGGGATTGGGCTACTTTCTAACACACAATACTCTCGGAAGCGAAGATCAATTGAAACTGGTGAAAAGTACCATTCGTGCTATCAGAGATGTTGGATTTAATCCACTGATATTAACAATGGATCAGTATGCTACGAACACCAAAATGGCAAAAGAAGCAGGTGCCACTACTGAGAATCCTTACTTCTTAGTAGATGGGAAACCTGTGTATATCCTGTGGGATCCACCCCATTTAACGAAAAGTGCAAGAAACATGTTGAAGAAGCACAACGCTGCATTTAACCAGCTTGTTGCCAGTTTTGACAACA